TTCACATGTGTCCACGGGCCCTGTACAGAAGGCCCATTAGATAAGTTGCAGGTGGGATCTTTTCAATTCTACATAATTTTTATGCAAATTCAACACTATTATGACATGAAACTGACATTAATGGTTTCCACTGAGTTTGCTGAGTACAGTAGAGGTGGTTTCATCAACAGTATCACTCATGCTTATGAAAAATACACTTTATTCACATGTGTCCACGGGACCAGTACAGAAGGCTCATTAAATAAATTGCAGGTGGACATACTTCCTGTTTTCAACTCCCACGTCCCACTGAATAAATTGCAGATGGGATGACTGTCCACTTATCTACTATGTATTGTCACAATTCAGACTTATTGCATGGGCTCCAGATAGTGTTTATTTGGACATTTTAAATCAAGGTGCATTCATGATAAAAAATTATTTTACTGCACTCAGCAGGTCCCCGAGTCCACAGCACCCAGTTCCATCCCAAAAATCCACTGTCCACGGACCCATTATTTTCTATAATGGCATAAATTGCAAGTGGGATCTCCATATCTCGGCTCTGGAAGGCTCTAGAGCCTCCAAACTTGCATTACCGTCTTAGTCTCAGTGCCCTCTATCAGAAACCAGAGTTTCAAGAAGATTGTATAAACTTTTTTTTTTCTACGAAAAAACCCAAAGGGGTTTCGTGGACAGTGGAATTTTGGGACGAAACTGGGTGCCACGGACTCAGGGGGACCTGCTGAGTGCAGTAAAATATATATTTTTTTATCATGAATGGGCCTTGATTTAAAATGTCCAAAAAAACAATATCTGGGCCCCATTATTTGAATTAGAAATGGACACGTCACTCAATAGAGGGCAAGTGGGATAGGTGTCCATTTCCCATTTATTGAATGGGATCGTTAAATGGATTGGTGGACAATCATCCCACTAACCTTTTATAGCAATTCCATTCAATAAATTGCAAATGGACACAGATCGCACTTGCAATTTATTGTATGGTTTCGGTTTAATAGATTGGTAGACAAACATCCCACTAACCTATTATAGGGATCCCATTCATTAAATGGCAAATGGACACATGTCCCACTTACAATTTATTGAATGGGGACGTTTTAAGTGGTTAGTGGACAATCCTCCCACTAACCTATTATTGCGATCCCATTCATTAAATTGCAAATGGACACATGTCCCACTTGCAATTTATTGTATGGGACGCTTAAAGTGGTTAGTGGACAATCCTCCCACTAACCTATTATTGCGATCCCATTCATTAAATTGCAAATGGACACATGTCCCACTTGCAATTTATTGTATGGGACGCTTAAAGTGGTTAGTGGACAATCCTCCCACTAACCTATTATTGCGATCCCATTCATTAAATTGCAAATGGACACATGTCCCACTTGCAATTTATTGTATGGGACGCTTAAAGTGGTTAGTGGACAATCCTCCCACTAACCTATTATTGCGATCCCATTCATTAAATTGCAAATGGACACATGTCCCACTTGCAATTTATTGTATGGGACGCTTAAAGTGGTTAGTGGACAATCCTCCCACTAACCTATTATTGCGATCCCATTCATTAAAT